ATCTTTTGATGGTTAAGGGGGCAACCATAAGCGTACGGGCGGGGGGGGGGGCTGGGGGGCGGCAGCCCCCCCCCCCAGTTTGTCGAAAAACCATGTCAGTCGGGCAAATTTTCAAAAATTATCCGCAATTAGTTGGGCAGAAATGACACTGGAAAGTGATAGGACTTACTTCAGGCAATTTGGTTGAACATTCGTGGTATCTTCAAATAACCCAAAGACTGAAAGCTACGTGTCAATATAGTTGCATTATCAAATCGACCAAGAGTGCCTTAAAAATGATATGATGGTTTTTGAAAATTACAAGAAGCAAGGCGCTTCTGAATCTTATGGTAATAATGCAGCAATGCTTGTCCGGAAGATGTTTCAAGAAGGTTTGCATCAAGTACTGCCATTCCTGTGTGAAGCAACATTGCTAAGCTGAACGATCATTTAGTGGCCTTTGACGGCTGAAACATATCTGAGATAAACCATTGGCCAAGAACGGCTGAGCAATTTGGCACTACTTAGCATCGAGAGGAAATTTTCAAACGAAGTTTTGAAAAGTGACATGAATGCGATGATTGATACATTTGGACATAGAAAGGGTCGGGACTCTCATTTCTTTTGACTGTAGTCGAATTCAAGAGTTAATTATAGTATTTTAAGTGATATTAAGTAAAATATCGGAAAATATCATACATTGCTGTCGTTATCTTTGAGAAACTTAGATCAAACTTTTAGATCTGAACAGTAGACATTATAGAAGAGTCGATAACGATAGCATGTCCCCCCAAACATGTCTCTGATTGGCTTGCTCTACTCTCAACTGACTCTTTTTACTTTAGATATTTCGGTGAAAAAGAATTCGTAATGTAAATATTCCTATGTCAAGTTCCTTATCACCAACAGGCTCATAAATATATGCATGCCTCTGTACTCTGGCAAAAATCCTACCGCCCCCCCCCCTGTAAAAATTCCGCCGTACGCTTATGGGGGCTACAAAAAAAGCATTCTTGGATTTAGAGTGCAGGATTGTAGCTGTATGAAGTTGAGAAGTTGAGGGGTGGCCAAGATAACGATTGTCTTCTTCAAAAAACATCATTCACCTTATCCCCCCCCCCACCATTGATAATGACAGGTCCTTTATTGACAACCCTCTAGCAATATTTTTTACTCAACGGTAACGGTTTGCAGACTGGTAGACTTAGCTCCATATTATTATTCAACTGCGAAACCATCTTATCATTGGCCTCTCGAAAGAGATATTCTACTTCAAACAGAAAATCCTTCATTTGATCAGGAGAGGAATACTTCCAAGTAAGTGCATTTTTCATATCTAAAATAGTTAACTTGGTAGTACTGCGAAATTTAGAACTTGGTAGTATGGAGTTACCCTGGGTACCAGACTCACTTTATTTCATATATAGTGAGTCTGGTACCCAGGGTAGTATGGAGTATGCATGCCTTGTTTACTTCAGAAAGGAAAACAGCCACTAGGAGCACCTCTGCACGAATGCTTTTATTGGAAAAGGTTTCATCTATTTTATCTATAGGGGGCATTTGCCCCTGGGCCCGTACACAAAATAAGGGCCTGCTGTTGATTAAAGTGCTTTTGAGACAATGTTTATACATTAAATAGTCCTCACGTCCTCTTAATATCATTGTAATTGCAACACTTGTCCGTACATCGAAAGTTTGACAAGGCTCTACGTTTATAAATTATAATTTATACTTCATACATTAGTAAACATAGAATATTTTTGGGCATTTTAAATCCGAATTAAACGCATTACTTCAACTTCCACTTTAGGCTTGGCTTGTGAAAATACATTTCATATTCCGATGCTCCTGAATCTGGACTTCTGAAAACTAGTCTCTCTTGATTAAGTAAAGAGTATTGAATATTCCATTTTGTGAACTAAGACTTGATAAGCTATTCTGTTTCTATTCTCCTTTTGCTTCGATTATCAATTTTGGATAAAAGTTTCTTATAACGATTTGAGTGCTTTTCAATTATGGTTCAAAATTTCTGTCGGCGTTCCATAAGGTTCAGTAACAGTCTCTCTGCTTTTCATCAGCTACCCTAAAGAGTTTTCTTTTTCATATATGGTGAAAGTGCAGATTTATGTAATTATGAAGATTATGCCACTTTATTTGCACGTAGATCTGTTCTAAACAAATTACCAGTAACACTTGAAGCGGAAAATTGAGGAGGACCTCAGAATATTGGGCATGCGCGCAGGCTACTATCGTTAGCAAGGTCTCATTTTAGTTACTGTCCATTTGTATGGATGACAGAAAATTGAATAATAATATAAACAACAGCCACGAACGAGCCCTTCGAATCAAATACAAAAATTGCAAGTGCAGCTTTGATCAATAATTAACTATGACGAAAGTAGTGTCTGTTTACCAAAGAAATTTACGGCTGCTATCGATCGCGGTATACAAAATTGTCAATAATCTGAAATCAACACTAATATAAGATGCTTGTGTTGATATACCCTGGGTACCAGACTCACTCTATATAAAATAGAGAACATTGTATCAAATAGAACATTATAAACAAATATTATTCTGTCGACTTGGAATAAACCTTCAAAGATATGAGCTTTTCAGGATGAAAAGAGTACGTCAGACAGAGGGAAAAATCATTTCCTGGCTAAGGGACCAGTCACCATTTATGTATTTATTTTATATAGAGTGAGTCTGGTACCCAGGGTAGTGTTAATAAAAACATACAATATGAACTTCCAAAAAACAATGTTTATCTAATGGAAAAGCAACAATATATAGCCAAATAGATTTATGGGCCACAATTTATATTATAAACGCTACCTCCTGAAAAGGTAGAGTCCCATTCACAGAATATATTGGAGGAGACATTAAATCTCCTACAGCCCTATGTTTGGGGATTCTGTATATGCATCGAAAACCCTTCTATTGTCACGCTTCGTCGTTTATTGTGTAGAATCTAAATGTCAGTTTAACCCGTCTCCAGGATACAGCAAGTCTCGGCGATGGCAGGATTCAATAGAGAATACAACTTCTGATCTTTCAGACGATTTGTGATATAGATCTATACTGAGGCCTTTCACAAGCACCTACAACATGACACGTACTACACTACGGACTCTCTCTCTCCCTCTCTAAAACTACTTTTCTAAAGGGGTATACATAGGCGATGGCTAAGAAGAAGGGAGTACACGCGGGGGCTGTGTCAGCAGTTTCCTAAGATGCGAAATGATTACTTAGCAGAAATAATACCTAAAAGGGGCATGAGGTAATACGCTTTATAAAGAATACCACTTCCTCAGCAAATCTTATGCAGAGTAAATCCTAAGAAAAAGATAGGCATGCTGCGCCAACGTAATTCGTGATGAGGAACTACTAGTACAGTAATAGAACTTAAGTAATATGCGTAATGCTGCATCTGCAAATACTCCTAAAGGAACTACGCGATGTTCCAAATGCGAAGGGCCTAAATGAACATAAATCATGTAGTAATAATAATAACGCGAAAGCTGACTCTATTACATCAGCACCTGAAACTTGCTCTCCCCTGGTATCAGTTATTGCGAAAAATGCAAAATCATAAAACATATTTGGCACTTGTGACGTGTAAGGAGGACCAGCATGCAATGCAATAAGGAGAGGAGACCAAGAAGAACATGGCTGCCAAACGTAACAACACAACAAATGGCTAACTTGTCACTGTTTATGGAATTGATTTGACTTGATACCAGGAACTTGGAATCAACAATTTTGATAATCAGAAGCAAATCGCTTTACGAAACTTTATTTTCTTGCTTGAGTTTTGTTGTAATACTCAGCATTTTGGAAAATCTCACCTTAGCATAGCATGTTCTTCTAGATACTTGGAAGTTTTTTGTGATAAAGTATCTGGGATGGATTTGAAAACATTTGTTTGCGCGAAATGGCGATTGTCTGTTCAGCTCTTTGCATTTCTACTATGTGTAGTTTGTCAACTGGCTGAGGCTGTCAGCGAGGGAGAAAAAATTGTTGCAACTACTTTAGGTATGACAAA